CATTGGGGTGTGTGGGGGCTGTGGGGTGTGTGGGGATTGTGGGCTGCACTCCCAGCTCAGAAGCCTCTTCCAAATCCATGGGCAGGGGCAGCAGCCTGCCTGCAAGAGAGAGAGGTGCTTAGGCAGCCAAGCCAGCATGGTCCAGCACTTCAAACGAGCAGCATTATTTTATATTATTTGTAAAAATTAGGGATGGCTTGTAGCCTGTTTGCTATTAAGTTTCAGAAAGGAAAAAGGCGTTTCCATGGAGGGCCCCACAAACCTTGGTAGCCATGAGAAAGAAAAGAGGTCACTGGGGGAGGAGGAGGAAGGCCACCACAGCATGGAGTGGGATGTTGCTGGGGTGCCTTTTTGGGAGGCAGGATAACAGGTTGCACTCACTTACTGTTTTCTCTTCAGGTGCAAAGGGTGCCCAGTGCAGGGAGCAGAGAGACGAGGCATCCCCGGCGCCGCAGCCGCGTTGCTGCCGCCAGCCAGGGCCCTCTGCTGCAGGGATGGAGGATGTCTGAGGCACCTCCGAGCCTGGGCTGCCTGGAAGGGTGCCTGGAGCAGGTCACAGTTCTGAGACAGGAGCGTGGCAGGCGGTGGCACAGGCTGGGACAAAGCCAGGCCTGTTCCTGGGAAAGCACATCCCACAATGGCCCCGCTGGCTCCAGTTTCAGCCCTGTCACCAGCGTGGTGTGCAGTGCCATGGCAACTCGGTGCAGCAGTGCCAGTGTGAGCCCTGTGAGGGATGGAGGGATGGGAAAACTGTGTGGTGGACTGTGGTGATGTTCACAGGGGTCCCAAGACCAGGGAAGAGACGAGTATCTGACTCCATGTTTCAGAAGGCTTGATTTATTATTATTATTATATATATATATATTATATTAAAACTATACTAAAAGAATAGAAGAAAGGATTTCATCAGAAGGCCAGCTAAGAATAGAAAAAGAATGATAACAAAATCCTGTGACTGACCGAGACAGTCCAGACAGCTGGACTGTGATTGGCCATTAATTAGAAACGACTTGGACACGCTGCTCTTTTCAAGGTAAAAAGGGATTTTTCATTTCTGACTCCAACATTTATAGANCGCCAGAGAGCAGCCAGGGCAAAAAGAAGAAAAGGAAACGGTCCAGGGATGGAGCTGAGGTGCCACAGAGCCAGGAACCAAACACAGAAGAGGAGGAGGTGTTGGAAGAAGAAAAGGTTGTGAAGAAGAAGAAAAAGAAGCAGGGGCCAAGCAGAGAAGAGGAGGTGACAGGAGAGGAGGAGGTCATGAGGAAGAAGAAGAAGAAGGTGATCACGGAGCCATGTGGAGAAGAGGTATCAGGAGAGGAGGGGAAGGTCATGAAGAGGAGGAAGAAGCCAGAGCTAAACACAGAAGAGGAGGTGGTGGAAGAGAATGGGAAGGCTGCAAAGAGGAAAAAGAAGAAGAAGAAGAAGCAGGAAGAGGAGGGCAAAGAAGAGCCAGCTGAAACACAGACAGATGAGCCAAACTTGGGACACAGCCCTACAAAGAAAAGGAAGAAGAAGAAGCAGGAAGAGGAGGACGAAGAAGAGCCAGCTGAAACAGATGTACCTCTACAAGAGACAGATGAGCCAAACTTGGGACACAGCCCTACAAAGAAAAGGAAGAAGAAGAAGAGGAAGAGGGAACCAGAGTGAGCAAGTGACATGGCTGCCATGCAGTCCCACCTGGCTGTAAGGGTCCTGATCCTGGTGCTGGTGGGTGCCATGGGCTGCTCTGAGCTCGTTCCAGATGGAGCCCAGCACTGTGACCCAGCTGCCTGGGGATGCTGAGCTAGGACAAGTTGGTCTGGAGCTGGATCAAGCTTTACTTCACCACCTGAACCTTCAGGAGTGACCCTGGTTCCCTCCAGGCCCTGAGGAAGGGACCCATTTGTCATGGGCCTGTCACAGAAGGACACAAGGACACGCCTTGCAGAGTACTAAAGTATTTTTTTAAGGGCATGAATAAATCTTTATTGTGATCAGCTTATCCCAAAGTGTGAGTGGTGCTGTGAGTGGCAGAACCCCACATCACCTTACACGTGCAGCACTTGCATTAGGCAGCAGCCCCAAAGAGAGCAGCCCCTCACCACTCCCACCTGCTGGGCTTTTCCATCCTGCAGGCTCACACCAGAGCCCAGTGAGGCGCTGAGCACCCTCCTGGCAGAGCTTGGGCAGAATTTGGCGCTGGTGTGCAGTGCTGAAGCCAGGCCTGGCCCCCCAGCCCCTCTGGCCCAGCTCTAGGTGAGCTGCAGGACGCAGTCTGTGCCAGGGTACTCTGGCAGGTTCAGGCTGTATTTCTCCTGCAGCGCAGGGGGCACAAACCTGCCCCCAAGGAAGTGGTACCGGCCTGTGAAATGCATCGCTGCCTTCTTGGGCGCCGTCAGGGAGATGAGCATGTCGGGCTGGAGGCCGTCTGCCTTCCCCTTCTCCACATCCCAGCCTGCAACGAGCCACGGCCATGCTGGAGCTGGGAGCACCCTGGCTGGGCACCATCCTGCAGCAGGTGCAGCCACAACTCACCTGAGGGGATGTCAATGCTGGCAATGGGCACTGTGACACGCTCCAGGGTGCTGAGGATGCTGCCAAAGGGCTCCCGCACTGCTCCCGTGAAGCTGAAGCCGAAAATGGCATCCACCACCAGGCCGTAGAGCTCGTCAATGAACTCAGCCTGTGGTGGGGATGGTGGCAGGTGAGGAGCAGTCCGGGCCACAGCTCCAGGGGCAGGTGCTGCTGAGCTGGGGGCTGCTCCTCACCTCAGCTGGGAACTCGGGGAGGAAGGGAATATCCATCTTGTTGCACTGGGTGGTCAAACCTTCAAAGAGGGGCTTGCTGGAGCGCTTGGGGTAATACACCGTTGGCTGGTAGCCCTGCAAGAGCAGAAGGAACCTGAACTAATCCCACTCTGGCACCAGCAGCAGCCAGAGGAGTGGGACCCTGGAGCCCACAGGTACAGGGGTGCACAGGACCAGCACCCTCATGGGGATCCTGTGCAAGACTCACAAACATCTTCAGGTGCCTGGCACAGACCAGCCCATCACCGCCGTTGTTCCCTGGCCCGCAGACCACCAGCACAGCAGGCTGGCTCGTGGTGAAGGAGCTGGGTGGGTAGGCCTGATGGGGGGCAAGAGGCACAGGGTTATGATGGGGAAGTGGGCCCACACCATGGAGCCAGGATTTGCAAGTCCTCCAACTTGGGACTGGCATGCCCATGGCGCTGGGATGATTCCCAGGATCACCATCTGCCTCCCTGGTGCCCACCTTGGGGGTGGCACAGCGGTACACAATGCTAGAACCTTCAGGACCCTCCCTTGGCTCCCAGGGCCTCCACCTTGTTGATGGTGGGGACAGCACTCAGCCTGTAGTGCTGGAACTCTCTCCCAGGACCTCCACCCATCTCCTGGGCACCCACCATGGCAGGATCCCCACCTCGCTGCTGGCAATGGCACAGCTCAGCCCCACAGTGCCAGGACCCCCTTCTGCCCCCCAGGACCCCCACCTTGGCAATGGCAGTGGCACAGCTCAGCCCCGCCAGCTCCATCAGCTGATCCACGCTGAACTTGTACTCAGTGAAGAGCTCCTGGTCGATAGCCTGGGCCTCCTCCTGCCTAGGGTGGGACACGGCACCGCTGGTACCCCAAAACCCGGCCAGGCCCAGCCTGGGGGCTGTGATCCCCTCGCCNAACATCGCTGTGGAGGCCGGGCAGGTTGGAGGGATGGGGTTGAAGGCAGGGTTGGAGGGTGTTTGGGTTCCTTTGGTCACTCTTGTAGTGCCACCGTATCCCCCAGGCCTGTCAGGAAGCAGCACCTTGCACAGGGGCTGTGGTGGTGGAAAGGTGCTGCTTGGACAGATCATTTCCAAGGCTTTGCCTTTTCTCTCCCAGGATGGCATCTCTGTGAAGGCACTTTCTGAGCAGGGAGGCAGCATCAGCAACAAGAAGCCACGCAAGGCTGGCAGCAGCGGGAGCCTGCTGTACGGCCGCTTTGTGAAGGTGACTGTCCCCAGGATCTTTGGGCTGCTATGGCATCAGAACCCCATTTTCCTTGTCCCCCTTTCTCACAGTCCCCGTGTCTCTGTGCTGCAGTCAGCCACGCTCACAGCCTGTGGGGAGGAGTCAGTGCCAGCCAGCTCTGAGAGCAGTCAGGAGGAGGAGGAGGAGAAGCTGGACCTCTCTTCGGTCAGGAGGTGAGGCTGGGCTCACGGGGAGGGACGAGGGCTGAAAGGTGGAGCTGTGTTCCCCACAGATGCTGAGGTGACAGGTCCTGTCTGTGTCCCCAGGCTGACGGACGAGGAGCTGGTGCAGGCGTGCGGGGGCCGCACAGCACACAAGTGAGTGCCTGGGGGGTCAGGGCCTGCCCCCTCCTCGCAGCCTGGGCTGGGGAACACCTTCCTGCTGGGGAACCAGTGCCAGTCCTCGCTGCCTGTGCTCATTGCAGGGGTGCCCGGCACGGCCTGACCATGAGTGCCAAGCTGGCACGCCTGGAGGAGCAGGAGCGAGCCTTCCTGGCCACGTACCGGCAACGGGAGCAGCAGCGGGAGCCGCCAGAGAGCAGCCAGGGCAAAAAGAAGAAAAGGAAACGGTCCAGGGATGGAGCTGAGGTGCCACAGAGCCAGGAACCAAACACAGAAG